ACTTTCATCCATACTTAAAGTGGATTTACTGTAGTCAACATAATTGAGTCCTTTTTATTTATTTTATTTTTTGTTCATTATTTATTTTTTGTTGAGCTATTTAAAACAAATCTCTTTTTTAATTGGAACATGCGAAAATATAGAAACCTTACATCCACATAGCTCCTTTTGCACTCCCTTCTTTATATTATAGTTGTAAATTATATTCATATACTCATATTGGAAACCAGACAATGTTATAATTGTTGCATTTAATAGTTGTACTTATTTAAAAATTTTTAAATAAAAAAGAATGTCATTTATTGATCTTGATATTTAACATTTCTGTTGCTCTTCTCTTATTTCTGGAATTCCAGTTTCCCTCAGGTATCATTTTTCTTCATCTTTTAAAGCTGCCTACAGTATTCCATTTAGAGTAGACCTGCTGGTTTCTAATTATTCTAGCCTTTCATCAGCTAATAATTTATTTATCTTGCTGTCATTCATGTAGGACATTTTATTGAGTCTAGAATTTGGGGTTGATAAGTACTTTCTTTTAGAAATTGGAAGTTGTTATTTCACTGTATTTGTCCTCCATGGATTTTGATGAGAAATCCTTGGTCATTCAAAATATTACTTCTATGTATGTGATGTGTAATTTGTTTCTGACTGAACTGTATATACATATATTGATGTAAATAAATATATATACTGATATGTATATATACACAAATATATACTGATATATATTCAGATATACTGATATGTATATACATCTGCAAATGCATTATATTTAAATATATTTAAATATAGTATACATTTGAATCTTTGATTTTTAGTAGTTTGATTATGATGTATCTGGGCATAGTTGTTTGTTGTTATTTTTTAGTTTATCCTGTATAGGGCTCTCAGAACCTGTTAAATTTTCAAATTTATGTCTTTCACTAAATTTAAGAAGGTTTCACTTATTTTTTCAAAAAAAATATATATACATATATATTTGCGCCAATACATTTCTCCTCTCTTCTGGGACTCCAATGACGCAAATATTAGAACTTATATATTCTGTCACGAATAACAAAGACTTTGTTCTTTTTTTATTTCCAATTTTTCCCTTTGTCCTTCAGATTGGATAATTTCAATAGCTTTATTCTCAAGTTCACTGAATATTTCCCTTGTCATCCCTTTTTGCCATTGAACTCATCCAGTAAGTTTTTAAATTTCAGTTATTGAATTTTTCAGTTTTTAAATTTCCATTTGATTTATTTTTATAGTTTCTCTGCTCAAAACTTCTACTTTTCTATACATTTTAAGTGTGTTCACCTTTACCTTATAGAGCATGTTTATAATAGCTGCTTTAATATCTTTGCCTGATAATTCAAATATCTAGGCCATCTTAGGGTCTGTCTTTATTGATGGTCTCTTCCCAGTCAAAAGTGATCAGGTTTTTTTTTTTTTTTTTTTTTTAGTGTAATTTTGAGTGGTATCCTGAACATTTTGAACAACATTGTGAGTGTCCAGGTCTATTAAAATCATCTGGAGATGTCAATTTCTTTAGTTTTGTTTGGTTTTAGCAGTCAATCAAGCCAGTTAAGTTCAGACCACAAATTTTGTCTTTTCGTCTGTGGATGTCAATTCTAATGTAAGTTCAGTTTTCCAAGCTCTTTCTGTGCTGTTTGAGCTTTCTCTATTGGATTCAGGAACTCACGTTGCTGCTGTCATGGCAGATTACCCTATAGCTTAGTGGCTTAACCCAGCAAACGTTTAGTATCTGACATTTTCTATGGGTTAGGATTCCAGGTGTTGCTAAGCTGGGTTTTCTGGCTCAGAGGGTCTCATAAGGTTGCAGTCATGGTATTGCCCAGAGCTGCAGTCATCTCAAGGCTTGACATTAGAGGATCTGCTTCCCCGCTCACTCATGTGGCCATTGACAGCTTCAGAGTTCCACTTCAAAGCTCACTCCTTCCTGTTGACAAGCTGCAGGTCCTTGCTGGCTGCTGGCCAGAGATATCATTCATGCCCTATGGGCCTCTCCATGGGGCATCTCACAACATGAGCAAGTGAGGGAGAGAGTGAAAGAGAGTGAGTGAAACAGAAAACAAACATTGTGTAACCTAATTTTGAAAGTGACTTCCCAACCGTTTTGCCATATTTTATTTGTTGGAAGTTAGTCATTAAGGCCAACCTACATTCAAAGGGAAAGAATTGTAAAGGGGCATGGATATCAGGAGACAGGATCATTAGGGGACATTTCAGAAGTTGCCTACCACTTTCATAACTAAATGCCCATGTGTGCAAGGTTTTTAAGAGCATCTATAATAATAAAAGAATAATATGGTAATTAGACTGGATGTCCTTCCGGATGTCATTCCAGACATCCTTCCTTATGAAGCTGGGGCAGGAGGGAAGCCAGCCTGGGTCCTGGGTGCCGGAGGGAAGCCAGTGCCGGCAGCCAGGGAAAGGAAGGCCTACTCTTGCACGAATTTTCATGCATTGGGCCTCTAGTATTATATATCTTCAGACCTTTCCCATATCATATGGAAGAGTATAAAATACTGTAACATGTTTTGTTTCCGTCTTTTCTCAGTAAACATCCATCTGGGTTCAATAGAAATTAAAGATGTTGAAAGTGGAGGGCAGTTCTAGAAAGAGCCAAGGGTCTGGAAAATAAATGTGGATGTTTGGTGCATCGTTTTAATGCTAGGATGGTTTCCTAGTCTGAATATTGTTAGGCGAATTAAGCATAAGAAACATCTGTCTGGAGGAAAACAGCACAAATTAACAGGATGAACAGAGGTTAGTGGAGTATGTTACCTCATTTTATTATTATTATTTTTTAATCCTCACTGGAGGATATTGTTTTTCTATTGATTTCTAGAAAGAGAGTGGAAGGGAGGGAGGAGGGGGAGAAAAAGAGAAACATTGAGGTGAGAGAGACATATCGATTGTTGGCCTCCAGCATGCAACCCTACCAGGGTTGGGGAACCTGCACCTCAACCAAGGTATGTGCCCTTGACTAGGCATGGAACCTGCGACCTTTTGGTCTGTGGGCTGATGCTCTAACCACTGAGAGAACCAGCCAGGGCTGTTATCTCATTTTATTTTATTTATTTATTTTTTTAACATATTTTATTGATTTTTTACAGAGAGGAAGGGAGAGAGATAGAGAGCCAGAAACATCGATGAGAGAGAAACATCGATCAGCTGCCTCCTGCACATCCCACACTGGGGAAGTGCCCGCAACCCAGGTACATGCCCTTGACCGGAATCGAACCCGGGACCTTTCAGTCTGCAAGCCGACGCTCTATCCACTGAGCCAAACCGGTTTCGGCTGTTATCTCATTTTAAACCGTTCAAGTTTGCAAACATTATAAGTCTGAGATCAACTCACATTCCATAAGGGATTAATTAAGCTACTTCAAATTGGTCCTTTATCAAGTAGTAAAATAAAAGTAATTTTTAGCTTTTATATCAGCTTCAGACCCATTGAATACATTAAAGCTCTATGAAGAATTAGAATCCTTGCGTATGAGCCTGGCAAGTTGAAGAACACGTAGGAGAGTCGTAAAAGTGACAGATTTGCTTCTAATATTGAATGGCAGAGAGTATTTTCCAAAGAGTTCCACAGTAACATTTTTCATTCCACATGATCTTCTGCAGTGTGATCTCATTAATCCCTATAAAGAGGTAGAATCTATTTCCTCATCCCCTTGTATCTGCTTTAACCATTAGAATCTGGCAGAAGTGATGCTATGCCATCTCCAGTCGTCACTCTTAACAGAGCCAGCAGCTTGTGCTTGCAGCCTCTTAGAGCTGTGCACACTGTATTAGACATCTGGGCTATTCTCTTAGAGAACCACATGGATATGCTTTGAATTTCATACATATGAGCAAGAAGCCATCCTGGACATGCTGCTCAATTGAGCCCCTAGGTGACTCCAGCCATGGCCTCCATCTAACTGCAGTCACATGAGAACCAAGTGAGACCCAGTCAACTGATCCCAGTTAACCCACAGAATCATAGAAGGCAATAATAAATTATTGTTTTAAGTTATTAAGTTTTAAGGTGGTTTTTACACCACAATAAATGTTTGAAAATCATTGTTCACATAAAGCCAGAATTTGAAAAATCACCTTCCTATTATACAAAGACATTTTAGGAAGTTTATAATATTAAACTAGAGGCCCCGTTGCACGAAGACTCGTGCAATAGGCCTTCTTACCCCTGGCTGCCAACACCAGTTTTCCTCTGGCACCCGGGGCCCAGACCTTCACTCTGGCCACCGCCTTCCATCTTCGCTCTGGACACAGTCTTTGCTGCGGGTGGAGCCTTTAGTCTTTGCTCCTCGCTCCTTCAGTCTCCGGCCAGAGCTGCTCCTGTAGCTCCTTCCGCCCCCCACTCTCTCCCTCATAGCTTGATCACTGCTTCGCCTGCAGACCTTGCTGACGGGCTCCTGGGTCTTAGGGGGCCGCCTTGCCTGTGGCCTGGCTTTACGATCATGAATCACAGGCAGCAGGCAAGGCGGCTCCTGGGTCCCGGGATGCCACCTTGCCTGCGGCCCGGCTTTCCAATCATGATCACGGGCCGCAGGTAAGGCAGCTCCTGGGTCCCCGGGGGGCTGCCTTGCCTGCAGCCTGGCTTTCCAGCGGCTCCTAGGGTCGCACACGGGGGCCTGGATGGCGGCTCCTGGTGTCCTGCCCTGCTTGCAGTATGCAAATTAGCCACTATCTTTGTTGGTGGTTGATTTGCATATCGCACTGATCAGCCAATGGCGATGGTAGCGAAGGTATGGTTAATTACCATGTTTGTCTATTATTAGGTAGGATTATTTAACTATGGAATACTGTTGATAAATATGTATCTCATAATATGTATCTTGTGGATTCACAAACTCAGGAATTTCCCAGGTGAAATATGAAACTGACCCCTATACACGGAGGGCAAAGAAAGACCATAGAAAGAGGTAGACCACTCTAGATTGGTAGGTAGCAGGTCTAATTAGCAAGGGGACTTACATATGATGCTTGTCTTGGGTGGCTGCAAGACAGGTAAGTCCTGCACCTGTCAGCCTGAATTTTAAAAGTTTATACAGAGGCTTTAATGAGGGTTCAGTCACATATACTGTCCTGATGGTCTCAACAACACATTTTCTCTCAAGGCTCATCTGTGAAAACAGTTCCTACTATGGGAATGGTGGGCAGACGTACATGTCAAGAATAGGACAGGGTGAGGAACCTCTGAATGCTTGGGTCCAGCTTTCGAATCACTTGGTGGTCCCATTCTCTCAATGATCACTCCCAACACTACCTAGATATGGATACAAATGTATATTCTGTAGCTTAAAGTATAATGAATAAAATAATAGCAATTGCTCTACCATAAGATAAACATATTATTACATATTTATGATTTTTTTCTAGTGCATTCTTGAAAAAATTCATGTTACCTGAGTAATATGAACAACATACTTGTTTTTTTCCTCTCCTCACCATTTAACAGGGTGTATTGAGTCTGTTCATAGCATTAAATATTTTTGAAAACAAGCATAATGACTATGTAAATACTTGTATGCATTTACCATGCTTTATCCAAACATTCTCTTATGATATACTAAGAATGTTTCCAACATTCCCAATATTTTGCTTTTGTATTTAGTAATGTAAATTCCAGCCTCACTCCTAAATGTGTGTGCTCCTCTATGATGATCTCCTTAGAAAGGATTCCTAGCTAAAGGATATGATCATTATCAGACCTTTAGAATAATCATATTATTGGATCAAGCGGCCAAGGAGTAACCATGTAGAACAGTTCCACTTTCATCAAACTTTAGAGATGGCAAATAGATTCCATCTGGAGTACCAACCCCGATTAATTAGTGGTGGTGACCTGGTACTCCCTGATGAGAAGGCCTGCCAGACCACATCTGGGTCCAGCAGCAAAGAATGCTAAGATGAGTTAGTAATGTTGACCCTTAATGAGGATGGAAGAATGGAAGCACATGTGCTTTGTGTCTGCCAACTCAGCCTTCGGCAGTTCTGGGAATGAAGATATATTCATAAATTTTTGCCAACATGAAATGCAAAAAAGAAAGTTTCTTGTTTTGGTTATAATGCATATTTCCATAATTACACATGTGGTTGAATGGTTTCTCTTCTGCTTGGTGTCCATCTACATTTATTCTTTTGTGAATTGCTTTTCCATTACCCTTTGTCCATATTTTCAATTGTCTTGCTAATATAGATGACTTACAAGAGTGCTTTATATATAAGGATAATAAGATTTTTTTCTGCCATTTTCCAATTTGTCATTTTTCTTTTAATTTGTAATACTTTATGATGAATAGAAGTGTCCATTGCTACATGGACAAATAAATTTGTTTCTTTTCATGGTTTCTTTGTGTGCTTACAACATTCTTCCTTACCCTATAATCTCATAAACGTTCATCTACATGTTCATCTGGTTTATTATGATTTAATTTATATTTATCTCTTAATTTCATCAGAAATCTAATCTACTCCTAATGCATCTCAAAGAAAGACAGATTGAAAAGGGAAAAGACTGACCATGGAAATATCAAACAAATTGAAAATAGTGATACTGATGGTGATGCTTATATTAATAATTATTATTATTATTAAGTTGAAATGCCATCCAGACACAGTAAAATTCAAAATAACTATATTAAATAAATAAAGGCTAATAGTACGTATGTTGTTGAAATTATGACATTAATTACGTTGTTAATAAGTAATTTTTTACAAAGAATATATAACTATTATGAACATTTATGTATAGAATTTAATATATTATAAAAATTATAAGCAAACCCTAAAAGTAAAAATATAAGTTGTCAAAGAATAACTTTAACCAGAATTAAACATATTTTCAGTCTTGAACAGATGGAATAGATTAAAGATGGAATAGAGCATTTGGCTAATGTATATAATAAAGTTGATTTATAAGATAGAAGAATTTATATCTTACAACCAAAAATGCTTACTTTTCTCAAAAATCTAATGGTATGTTTCACGTTATTCATATATTAGGTCACAAGACATTTCAGTAAGAATAGTTCTATTCTTTGACCTCCATAAAATAAACTTGGGAATTAATTTAAAAGTAGGTTAACAAAACATACAAACACTAGAGTTAAAATAATAATATAAAAATAAAATAAATCACTCCCTTCAATGATTTCTGGGCCAAAGCAGAAATAAAAGTCCAGCTATAGGTTATTTAGAAAATAATAATGACACTAAAGCTAATACTCATGTGTAGATAGAAAATTATATCTGCAAGAGCTTTATTTAAAAAGCAAAGTAAATGAAAATAAATGAACAAAGGTTTCAAGGTAAGGAAATACAATATAAATTGTCAGTATAAATGTGTAAATTAATGTATCAGAAAACAAAGAGTCCAAGTGTTAGTTCTCTAAAAAAACATAAAATAGGTAAAATGTCCATAACAGTAATCAAAAGAAAAAAAAAGTAAAGTTGCCAATATATAACATAGAAATATGGTGGTAATTTGTGGTGTTCACCAAATATTTCTAGCTTTTTGCTTTCTGGGAATATGGTAGGATTGTAGTTCCCTACTTCCTTTGGGGTCAGACATGGCCATGCAATTTTCTTTGGTCAGTAAAATGGTACAGAAGTGATCTGTGTCGCCTTCGGTGGTAACTTCAGGAGACAGTGAGAAACTATGTCCTCTTTTCTCTGCTATAGCATTCATGGAAAGCATATATTGAGAGGGTACCTTCCATGGCTACAGATGTGGGTTTATTAGTCAGGATCAAGTTTTGCTGAAGGTGACAGTAAAACTCAAAATAAAAGGGGTAGATTGGCAATCTGAGATGAGCCCAGTGGTTCCGCTCTCTAAAGTCTGCAGGAACCCAGGCTCTTTTCAGTTTATTACTCACCCATCCCTAGAATGTGACCTTCATTCTCACGGTTCAAAATAGCTGCTAGAGATCTGCCACCACATTCATGTTCCAGGTGGAAAGATCGAGTAAGGGGGAAAAGGAAGAGACAACAGATAACAAACAGATAGCAGCTGCCTTTTAACCCCTTCCCCGGCAGAAACGTGTATACACGTTTTCACAAAATGTTCTTTTTTCATTCGTCGACGAGTATACTCGTCTAAAACTTTACCTTCAAAAACCAGCTACATACGTACCATTCTAAATAATTTCATCTAGAAACTTTCTTTTAAAGGAGTTTCCTGGAAGCTGCCACACAAAACCAGCACTTAAACGTCATTGCCCAGAACCTAGCTCCATGGCTACATCCATCTGCAAGGGTGGCTGAAATATGTAGTTTTTCTTTCAGGCACCACTGTTCCCAGCTAAAACTTAGGAGCTCTATTGCTGTTCAAGAAGGGGAAATCAGATGTGGTAGGTAGGTGACTAGGTGTCTCTGCCACAGTGAGTGTCTGACCTAAATTAGGACAACTGTAACGCCCCATCCCCTCAACCCCAGCCTGGGTTAAGGAATAGGCATACAACAACCCATGCCTGCTCTAGTGGGAATTCTTTTTTTTTTAAATATATTTTATTGATTTTTTACAGAGAGGAAGGGAGAGAGATAGAGAGTCAGAAACATCGATGAAAGAGAACCATCGATCAGTCGCTTCCTGCACATCCCCCACCGGGGATGTGCCCGCAACCCAAGTACATGCCCTTGACCGGAATCGAACCTGGGACCTTTCAGTCCGCAGGCCGACGCTCTATCCACTGAGCCAAACCGGTTTCGGCAAGTGGGAATTCTTTAAGGTGGTGGTGGTGGTGCTACTGCTGCTGGTGGTGGTTTGTGTTAAATTTTTTTTAAACTTGAGCTCGTGAGAAAGAATCTCTCCTCAGATCATAAATCTGAAGCCTGAGACTAAATTTAACATGCAAAGAAAAGCAGAAGAGAAAAATACAAGACCTAAGTAGTTCTTGATTTCCTTTTCTAAGCCTTTATAAAAAATTTTTATTGTTTAAAGTATTACAAATAATAGTACATATGTCTCCTTTTCCCCCTCCATTGGCCTTTTTGAGATCAGTCTACCCCTGCCCTTTCTCCAGTGTAGTTACATGCGCCAAGAAATGCCTGTTTTCTTTACACAAGAAGTTGGGTGTCTATTTCCTGCAACCCAAGAGTCTTAAAGTAATTGTCTACCTCCCTGGGTTTTTGTAGGGAACTCATGAGGGAGTGCACATAGTAGTTGCCATGGTGTCTGGCACTAAAGGTCCCGAAACATTTGTGCTTGATGATATGTTTGAATAACACAGAGCAGATGAAATTTGGACAAAAAGTTTTTTTTCTAAGTCTCAGCTCAAATGAGATCTCGCTCATTCCCCAGGAAGATTTACGTCTTGCTTCCCTTTTTCCATTCTTGCAGCCATCCTACTGCTTTGTAATTGTTTGCAAACCGATGTTCTCTTATGGTAGCCCTTAAACTTTGGGAGGACTGGAACCAAGTCTTACTCATGTTTAAATTGTCAGTATTTGACTTTCTGGCACAGTAGATTCTCTATAAATATTTTTAGAAAAAGTTAGGATTTGAAGAGTATTCGTGATTAAAGGTGGCAAAATAGCAACTAGCATTTATTCTAAGCACTGTCCTAAGAACTTTGTTTTTATGATTAAATCCTCATAACTCTTAATACAGTGGGGCCTTGACTTACGAGTTTAATTTGTTCCGAGACTGAGCTCGTTAACTCAAATTACTCTATCAACTCAATGCAAAAAGTCTGTTGAAAGACAGCTGGTATCTCAAAAAACTCGTTAGTCAGGACACTCATAAGTCAAGGCCCCACTGTATGCTATTACTATTAATCCATTTTATAGATGAGCAAACTGATGTCACATTCATACAACTAGTTAATGGCAGAGCCAAGATTTCATCCTAGGCCAAGAAATTCCAGAACCCTAACATTTCAGCCAGTACACTGTGCTATATCTCTCACTGAAGGTATTTCATTAAATATAAATGGAATTAAATCATCTTATATTAGAGACCGGGAAGTGAGATCAGTGAATTCCATCATGAAATAGATGTAAAACTGAAGCCAAGGATTGGAAGTGACTGAGTTCAGGTGGTTTTTCACAAAGTTCATGGCCTTGAAGAAGGCTTCCCGGGCCTCTCCAAGGTCAAGTCTGTCTACCTAAGCTTTCCTTCATAGCACTTAGCACGGGCTGTTGTGATTATATATATATATTATTTGTGGAATATCTGGCTAATGGCCATCTTGCTCATTACCCTATAAGTTCCGTGAGGACAAGATCCATGTCAATTTTTGTTCCTCCTTCTATACCTAGTGTCCTGGCACATAAGGCACTCAAAAATATTTGTTGACTTTGGGGAGTGAGCACACAATGAATATACAGGGCGTGTATCATAGAAATGTGCATTTGAAATCTATATGGTCCTATTAACCAATACCACCCCAATAAATTTAAAAAATGTATTTGTTGAATGGAAAAAAAGGATGAATCAGTAACTGCATGACTGAAGCACCCGGACAAATCATCCCAGTGGGGGCAGAGACACCCCATATATGGTGTGATCTGAGGGCGCCCTCAAAAGACTGCACTCAACACACCAAGGCCCAGAAATCCCCACCAGGAAAGTCAAACATATATGTGGAGAGACACCCCATATATGGTGTGATCTGAGGGCGTCCTCAAGAGACTGCACTCAACACACCAAGGCCCAGAGATCCCCACCAGGAAAGTCAAACATGGATTTGGTGAAGACGGGGACACCGAAGGGGGGGTGGGGAGGACGCAAAAGGTGAGCAAGCAGTTTTCAAAGGATGCTTTCAATTCCCTGGCCGGCCAGTGTGTGTGTTTTCCTCTACAAAGTGTTTCCAATTACTGTGGCACTCTCGGTATCTGGATCCATCTCCAGTGAATTCCTCTGCAGCTCCTGCCAGACATATGGGATCAATCAGGCCTTGGGCGCTGGTGCGCTTGCTGCGGGAATGTTGACAGCCTGACAGACGCGGGTTCTGGTGTCATGGAATCTCCTAGCCTTTGGCTGGATCCCGGGAGAACCAGAGGGGGAGGAGAGAGACCGAGGCAGAGATAGAGGCAGGAGAGGCAGAGGGGAGCGGCAGAGAGCGCGAGAGGAGAAAAGGAGGGAAGCGGGAGATTTTTCTTGACTGCCCCCTTTCCTTCAAACATTTTATAGGCTTCAGGGAGAGAAAGGAGGAGGAGAGAGGAGAAAAGGGACGGGGAGGGGGAAAGGGGGCGCGCCGTTTCCTCCCGAGGCCCCCCGCTGCCGGAGGAGTCTGGATTGTGTCCCCAGTGTCAGATGAAATAAGGCTGCT